CGCGTGTGTGTGTTTGTGTGTGAGGGTTTTAATGATGGTGTATGTTCTTTCAATCGGTGTTCAAGTGTGTGTGAGAAATTAATGAACATCAGAATACCAGTTTGATCTCAGCGAGGTCTCTGATGCAACTGAGACACAATTTGTTCCTCTTCAATAATTTAAAAATGCACACACGCATACAAACACTCTTTGGGAAGAAATGTATTTGTGAACCCGCATCCGAGAAAGAGCAGCCAATTGGCCTAGATCAATTGTGGTGGGTAAACCGATGACCCCTAACGGTGGACAAGAGGTGGTGTTATTCACAACATACTGTGACTATAGGTGTCCAAAACACTGTTAGTCTCCCTCTGAGTGTTTTGCTGTTATACCCATGGAGCTGATATCCAGCATTTAGCTGTGCTATTAACAGTCCAGGCCATGAACACTTACCACCTGTGTGTGAAGGTGACAAGCTCCATGAACAAGAAAATCAAGTTACATGGTCCTATTACACACCTGATAGGGGGCCACACAAAAGCCTCTTTGTGCTTGAGAGAATGAAAACACAGCTAGATTATTAAAACACTAATACTACACTGCAGGAAATAAAAAAATAATCATTTTTATCATCTTCTCCAAGACATTCTTAAAGGAATAGTTCACCCAAAAATTTAATTCACTCACCCTCATGTTGTTTCAAACCGATATGAGTTTCTTTCTTCGGTTGAACACTAAAGAAGATATATTTTGAAGAATAAACAACTATAAGCAACTATAATTCTTCAAAATATATTTTGTGTCCAGCAAAAGAAATAAACTCAGGCTTGGAATAACCTAAAGGTGAGTAAATGATCACAGAATTTTCATTTTGGGTGAACTATTCCTTAAAAACAATATATATTTATATTTACATAGAAGATATACGTGTGTGTGTGTGTGTGTGTGTGTGGGTGTGTGTGTACAGAATAAATAATATCTCAGATTATATGTAATATTCTATTTTATCCTCCATAATTTAGCTTTAAATCTAGTTTTTTCCCCTTTTCCTTTTAAGAATGTTTAGATATTTTTACTAATTATTGTTGCCTGACAAATGATAAGATTTCTTTTTTTAGCTGCACATTTTTTTATTGCTTTACGTATAAACCTTGTTAAAGTTTGTTAGATTTATTTAAAAAATAATAATCTTAAAGATATATTAATCAAATTAATTACATATATTATATTTTATATTATCCTGCATAATTTGGCTTGAAGTTAATTGTTAATTTTCTCTTTATTTAAATTTAAGAATGTTTGAATACTTTTACAAATTATTCCTGCCTGGAGATTACTGGCAGCAGCGATAGATGCTATTTACACTATGTAAAAATAGCAGTATTTTCTTTGCAATATTAGGCCATATCCACACGAAGCCAGAGCTTTCCCCATCCGATCTTTTTTTTTTCCCTCGTCTCAAGAAATATCTGCGTACACACGAAACCGACTCAAAACAATGTAGTATACATGCCAGACCAGTATGTGGCGCTGTTATTCTGCCACAGAGATACACTACAAACGGAGAAGAGGACGACTTGGAGCATGCGCATAAACCTTGCGCTCTGTATACAAACCCAACACAAGAAAATTAACATGGAATAATACATTTATTAATCTTAATGTTAGTTAATAAAAAGACAATCATTCAGTGTTTGTTCATGTTCTTGTTGCCATTACGCGAAGTAGCAATGCAACCCTCTACATTGCGAGTAAATCACTCGCATATGCGACTAAATCTTACTCTGGGCGACTAAATAATATCTAACATTAGCCATTGGCTAATAAATTCTTAGATTTTACACGCCAGTATGTGTGTGAGAGGCGTTCAAAACAGATTTTCACTCGATAAACACGCTGACTGAGCGCTTGAGAGTTTCACTCTCCGTCAAGCGATCTGTACTATTTGGATGCACTCAATGGATCATGTCATGTACTCAATGGATACGCAGTATGTAGCACGCAGCGCACCTGTATTTGACGTACCGTAAACTAGTGTGAAGGCGCACGACTCGCCGTCGCTTTAACTGCTGTGTTTCTCACACATGCAAAGAGAGAGAGCGAGAGTCTTGCATACCACGCTGAATCGACGCGCTACATGTAAACCATATTCTTTGTTGTATTTTCCTGTCAAAATAACAGAGTTCATTTAGAATTATTCAGCTTTTAAGAACAAGCAGAAGATATGCCGGTTTCTCGGCAGTGGGCGGAGCTAATGCACAAACAGCTCTTGTTGGCTGGCGCTCATCTATTACCGTCCCTGTTTTGATTTCAGCAAATCAGTTCGAGCGAACGCTGACAACGTGATTAATATTCATGAACCCAGCAGATAATAATAGTAGTAGTAGTAGTATCTTTTAATAATAATTACTATTACCTATGACCAACAATATCTTAAACACCACCACCAGTCCTAAGTTCAGTTAAAATTACAAATATGCATTCATCCATGGTTACCAAGTTTTAGTTCTAATCAATAGTTCTATCATTTTAATAGTGCTTAATAATCATAATATAATAATCATAATATAATGCTTGATTGGCTGAAGTTATGAACTAAATGATTTTTATTTCTATAAAAAATCAAAACGACGGTGGGGGTCGTTGACGCGGTGGGCAAGTGACGTAACCGGTATTGTGGCTTAACACCGGTATCACCGTCAATACCGTCTATCGCGGCAAGCCTAGTGGAATCATGTATGTGTGTGTGTGTGTGTGTGTGTGTGCGTGTGTGTACCTACTTAACCATATTTTGGGGCCAAATTTGTACCCAAAAGTGAGCAAAGCCTGACAAAATCGGCAAAAACCTCAATTTGTGGATGTCCTCATTTGTAAAACTGTTAAAATAAAGTAAACAAAGTTTTTTTTTACTTTTGAAATTGTAAAAATGCAGAAAGTTTTCTGTGAGGGGTAGGGGTGGGTTTAGGTTAAAAAGTGTATAACTATCTGTATATAAAAACAATAGAAGTCTATGTAATGTCCCCATTTAGATAGCTAAATAAACGCGCGCGCGCGTGTGTGTGTGTGTGTGTAAAATAGTATATCAGTCTCGCGAGTAAACAAAAAAATTTACTAGCCAATGGCGATTATATTGCCAAGGTGTGCGTAGAGGGTTGAATGTATGACTAGGGTTGAGACATGGGGTGATGACATCATCGTTTCACAAAATATACGGATTGGCTGTTCACATGAAAACCCAAGGGTGTCGTTTTCAGATTTATCCACTCTGGGACCCCGTTTAAAAAAAATAGCAGTTTCAGGCTCCCAAAACACTGGATCGGTCTGGATAAAACAGCATTACGAAACAAAATTTTTACGTATACAGCTAAATGCATCTTCGTGTGGGGCCTTAGTTAGATGCTATTTATACTATTTAGTGCAAGTGGCAGATATTTGCACCTCAGTATTAAAGTACATTATAAAAGTAATAACGTATTGAGTGTAAATTATCTTCTTTATTAAACTTATTAAATGGATGCCACCTTCTTTGGACAATAAAGCCCTCCCTACACCTACCCCTAAACCATAAACACCCGTGAGGCACTTTATTTTCCACTTTTCGATTACTTCCTTCATTTTATTGAAAATAAATGCCTTTCCGATCTGATACGTGATGTGAAAAGGGAGAAGAACGAGTTTGGCAAAAGGCGGATTCGAACTCGGGTCGATCGCGTCAAAAAGTCTCTACTATGCGTTTTACTACCTACACCACTAGAGCTATTGTTTAAAATGCGTCTTTTGTAATGTTGTCTAGCCCAACCACACGTTGGTGGGCAGAGCTAGTGTAAATAGTGTAAATATGAAGGAGCAACACAATCCACTGGGACCTGAATAAATTAAAGACTTAAATGGGCTCTTTTAACTTAACCTATAAATACCCAAGAAACCAACCACATTAACTTAGCAACTGCAAATTAATTCACTAAAATCCAGTCAGAACACCTTAGTGACCGCAAAGAAACACCCACGACACCCTAATACATTCACAAAAAAAAAATCTAGTGTATACATCATATTTATTAATGCTTTGCCAACATAAACCCTTTTTATCATGTCAATAAAGCTTCTTACATCTTAAGGGAACCGAAACGAAAGAGAGAATCAGTTTTACACAATCCACTGGGACCTGAATAAATTAAAGACTTAAATGGGCTCTTTTAACTTAACCTATAAATACCCAAGAAACCAACCACATTAACTTAGCAACTGCAAATTAATTCACTAAAATCCAGTCAGAACACCTTAGTGACCACAAAGAAACACCCACAACACCCTAATACATTCACAAAAAAAAAAATCTAGTGTATACATCATATTTATTAATGCTTTGCCAACATAAACCCTTTTTATCATGTCAATAAAGCTTCTTACATCTTAAGGGAACCGAAACGAAAGAGAGAATCAGTTTTCTATGAGATGACGAGAGAATGAGAGTGCAAATCAGATCATTTGATGCCTTTGGATCTGAGGAGATTAAAATACTCTCATTCATTGTAAATATTAAAATTTGATGTTCCACAGAGGATTTGACTGCTGGTTTTCCACCAATCATCCATGCTGTGCCTATAAAAATGACATAGACTGAGGGAATGCGAACCGCTGCTCTATCATTTATCGTTACACAGCTGCTCTAACCGTAATTCAGTATTACACAAGACGTTTACTGTAATTAACCATTACACAGCTGCGTTTCTCTAAATTACCATTCTTTTATGCTTTGTAGAGCGAGCAAGCAACCGCTTTCTTCTCCCCTGATCTGTGCACATTTTCACTGCATGGCTGTCAAGAATTGGTTCAGTAGTTGTTTGAAGCCACTTGCATTTTTCATCATCTCATGACGGACAGCAATCTATGTGAAAATCCATTTTGTCTCTTAAAGTACTTTGATCTGAATGGCTCTTTCAACAGGGATCAGATTGAAACTCAGACCTTTGTGATGTGGACTGAGTTGTAACTTCCTTTGTGTATGTATGTGTTGACAGAAAGCCCGACTGGCCCGAATGAGAATTTCCAAGTGTGGCAGCTCTAGCGCCTTCCTGCATAGCAAACGAAATGGGCTCAACCAATCACTGGAGCTAACGGTGAGAAGCACACACATTGTTTCACAAATACAAACACACACACACATTCATGCAACTTCCTTTGTGTATGTATGTGTTGACAGAAAGCCCGACTGGCCCGAATGAGAATTTCCAAGTGTGGCAGCTCTAGCGCCTTCCTGCATAGCAAACGAAATGGGCTCAACCAATCACTGGAGCTAACGGTGAGAAGCACACACTCACACACATTGTTTCACAAATACAAACACACACACACATTCATGCTAATTTTTTCCCATATTTTGTTTCTGTTTGACTTCTGGTGGCTTCTTTTTTATTTGCCATACATTATGCATGGTTTTCAACAGGAACTCCTGCAGACAGTGTTTTAGCGCAGAGATAAAAGTGTCAGGTTGTTTTGCTTTAAAAGTGTTTAAAGCTAGAGATTCACATGGGGTGATCCAATTTTCAGCACTTAAGAGCGATTATGAGCTTTTCATGTTTGCATATTTGCATAAACATCAGCTCAATTAACTCAATGTCATCCAATTTATCAAGACAGAGTGATGAACTGATGTGAAAATGTCTTAATGTGTTGCTTGCTAAACACCCTCATTAGTGAGTAGGCTGTGAGCATATGTGTGTGAAAGGGAGATCTGGTCTTTATTACTGTGGTTGTTTGAAGGTGTCCAGCTCCTGTAAAATGCCTTCCTGGAAAAAAAAGGAGCGATTCTCTGAATGCGTCGAATTCATTTGAGGAACGAGGAACATGCTGAGATTGAACAGCGAGTACAGAGACAGATTGCAGGCCACTCCAAAGAGAGCTAACCAGTTTCACAGAACGTCCTCAGAGAGGTCCAGAGAGTGAAGCAGAAGGGAACCGGACAAAACTGAGCTTCATTATGGAGTCTAAGAGGCCTCCAAACTGTTTTAACAGCGTTAAAATATGTGCTTAATACTGAATATTAATTTTAAAAAATGTATATAAAAATATGCTTAATACTGGATATAATTATTAAAAAAACAAACTCCCAAAACTTTTAAATGGTAACATAAATTTTAATACTAAATACTACTTAATTTATTTTTACGTTTACATTTGGCAGATGCTTTTATCCAATTTATCCAACAACAAAAGAGACTCCTGCTATAAAAACATGAATTAATGCAATTAACATTAGACTAATAATAGTCTACTGAGGCTGGATCAGATCAAGGTAACATATTAAAAAAAATTGAGAAAGGGCAATAAAGTGATTAATTTTGCACACATACATCAATAGACTCCAAATATATAAACAGTAAAAAAGTCAATATCAACAGAAAAAATGAGGGTTAAAAATCCACATCAGGTTTTTCCTCTCCAAAAAACAGGCTCTTCCTCTCCAAAAAACAGGCTCCTGTGGGTGAATCACACAAGAACACTCAAAATGGTGGAAAATGTGCTTATGTGGGCTTCGTCTTCTTGATTTCTTGAAGTCCTTTGATTTTGGGGTTAATTTGAGGTTTCTTAATGTGATTCACCCAAGAGTGGTCCGACTTTGCATCAAACTGAAGAAGCTGCTTCTAGGTTAGCCTGTCTGAATAGCTCATATATACCACGCAGATCACATGCAAACATGCAGTCTGCTCAGAATAAGAGTACTCGGGGTATGTTACTGTAAGATGCCTAATTTTGCTCTCTCTTCATTTCTATCAATATCTTTCTTTTTCCTTCTGTCTCTCTCTCTCCTCCCACACATCTCTCACTGACTCACTCATGTTATTTTGGTGCTCGCGTTGTGTTAAGACGATGTGGAAATGGTGAAAATGTGGAGCAGTGTATGTGCGTTCAGCCGGAGGGCCCAGTACACGAGCACAAGCTCCCAGGCAAAAGCTCTACAATAAAAGAGACAGATATGTGGAGTTTTAGTAACTGTACCAATGGATTTGTGAAACAGGAAAGTGGAATCACTCTGATTCGCCCAATCCTCTGAGGCTCCTCATCCTTCCTTTCTCTCAAGCCTTGTTTATTTAAGTTATGGATGATCTATTGTGCTGCTCTGTTATGGATGAAGTTCCTTCCAAAAGCAGTAAACCACTCTCCATGTCTTTCCCTCCCACTCTTACACAACAGCAGCTCCCCTATTACAAGATGAAACCTTCACCACAGGTACTGAGCCAAACAACACACACTCTGTCCCTCTCTCCACTTCATTATTCATGCATGAAATGTGGTGATTCCTTAAAAATTATGTGAATGTCTGTCTGTGTGTTTCTGTAGGGCTCCTTGGAGGAGGACCAACAACTGAAGAAGACCACATCTCTGCTGGAGAGTCAACATCACCATCTTCTGCACTGCCTGGAGAAGACCACGGTCAGTCAGAAGTAGTGGTGGCTGCGTTTGAAACTTTACAAATCCTTTGCTTCGAATCAGTGGTTCAGAATGTGCCTCAAACTCGCCAAGTCACACGATTTCAACAAACGAAGCTTCATAATATTGTTTTGACACTTGGTTTCAAAACATTTCAAAATTCATAGACTTCGCACTAGATGCCATTGACTTGGTAAACCCATTAACAAGTGTCTAGCTGATCTCAGGTCAGTTTTATATGTAGGCTAGGTATTTTTTAAATGACTTTAATGAATTTTAATACTTAAGTGTGTGTAATACAAAAAGGAGAAAGATAGTTAATTGATTCTAATTGCCCTAGTTTGCCAAGCCCTGCCTAATGACAGGCAAAACAAGCACTAGCCTACGCATTAAAAAAAGAACACAAATTTTACAGAACCTTCATATTTAATGGCATTTATCAATTATTCGTAGATTACATTAATAGATTACACTTTAATGGAAACATTTGCCATTGGTTTGTAAAATCTGCAATTATACATGTTTGGTCTGAGTTTTCATTCCATTTAACGTTCCACTGTTTCTTTACAGTGAATCATTTATGCTTCGAAACAGTGAATTTTGCGAAACAACTGGTTCAACTGATTCAGAGTTTCGAAAAGAAAGAATCTCTCTCAAATTAGTCATATCTCAAATTAACACTATTTAAACTAGTTGTATAATTTGTATAACAAGTTTCCAGCCACAAGCAAAGAACAGAAACGTGACGCACCAAAAAACCAACCAATCGGAAATATTCACTGTTTGCTCTCTCTCACAGCGTAAAGCAAGCACATACCTTGTATCTTCATGACATCCGCGATGCTTTTCCAGACGCCATCGTTTTTTGCCTTTCTCTGTGGAACTTGAGGGATTTGTCGTGTGTAATCCAGTGTTTGTCAACTCCCACAATCAATCACACCTCCTCCTATTTTGTTTTATACGAGTAGCGTTATTTCGGTCCAATTATATTTCGGTGTGGGCGGGGCTTTTCGTCGCAACGCCGCAGAAGTGACGTACAAGCGGCTAAATAAATAAACGAACGAACGAATGAATGAATAATAAACCTTTTCATTTTAAAAAAAACAAACAGGCATTATCATTTTATGATAATCGAATAACAATAAATCCAAGCATCATACATTGAAAAAGACATAATAGCCTATAGAAAATAGTCTATCACAAAAAAATGATTTACAAATAATAAATGAAACAAGTAAACGCAAATTATAACAAATTAATTAGGGATTAAGTATTTTTCAGATGCTTTAAGGTTTGAAATAAAATTTTAACATTTTAAATGCTACAATACTTGGAGCCGCTTTAACAAATGTAAATGAATGTAAATGTTAAATTAAAACCATGTCAGTTAAACTATTTATAAATATCATCAAAATATCTTTACACAAAACACAGTTGATATTTAAAAGTAGGTACGACATACACAATGTAGAAAGCACAAAATGCTTTATTGCGTCGTCTAAGACAATAGAAATGTTAAATTAAAACCATGTCAGTTAAACTATTTATAAATATCATCAAAATATCTTTACACAAAACACAAAGTTGATATTTAAAAGTAGGTACGACATACACAATGTAGAAAGCACAAAATGCTTTATTGCGTCATGTCTAAGACAATAGAAAAAAGTTTGTTTTAATAATCTTTCATCAAAATGTAATAATTTTCTCTTCCTCTGCAATTCCCTTTACGTGGACATGAAAAAATATATTAACCAATATTATAGTAGTTTCACACTTTGCCAATTCAATCAAATTAAGTCCCGCCCTACAATAATAACCACTGAATATTCTCTTTAGAGATGCTTTTAATAATACATCCACAAATTCATCTTATGTAACATACAACTGCCATAAAAAGGAACTGATCTGATTCTGATTTGTTCTCATTTGTTATGCATTACTGAAGTAAAAATGCATCAATGTTGTTTCATATTCTCTTTTATATTTAAGGTTTAACATGCTTGCAAAGTCTTTGAAGTAAAGGGAATAAGAGAAAAAGGCTTATGACAGTAAATAAAACATCAGAAAGCAATAATCGTTGTGTTTCTGTGAACAGAATCATGAGTTTGTGGATGAGCGGCTGTATGAACAGGGGTACCTGCAGACAGCACTACAGAACTTCCCATCGCAGAGTCCATCTCTCTCCAGTGAAGAGGGCATCACTGGCACCTGCTGCTCTCGGAGAACCAAGAAGAACATGCAGCCTCTCAGTGCCACACACACACACAACCTGCAGGAGCTCAGCGCATTACACATCCAGTGTGGGGAACAGCAACCACTAAACACCAGGTTAGCACTCATTTTTCATGCACAACATTGTTCAAAGAGTTGATGTTTATTAGAGCTAAAAGACTTCAACTTTTTTATATTATCCACCTTATTATTAGTATTTTTTTACATTAGATCAGGTGCAGCCATTTGTGACTCTAATGTGCAAGTCTTACAGTGTCATCAGCTTCCAGCTATTTTAGCTGTACAAAAACAGTTTGTTATGCTGCTTCATGTTACAAACTGGTATTTGTTATCATATAATTTTAATGTATTATCATAATCATGAACACACAAGTGTATAGCACAAATAGTTTTACAATGGTTATACTTATTCTCCATAGTGGCTAATAAACAGAAGTCTCACTCATTCACAGAAAATAGCTTACTTTTGCATTACAACTAAGGTGAATATAAAGGTCACATGACATGTTACAAAAAAAAACAAATAACCATGCCTTCATCATTTTGCTCCTTCTAAAATGCTTTTTAATGTATAATTTTAATTGTTTACCATTGTCACAGACCCAGACTTTAAACCTTAAACTATGTGAAAATATTAATTTCTAAATTTGAAAAAAAAAACTGACAGTCTAAACAAAGTGTAAAATAAACATAAACCATTTTAATATTATTAAAAAAAAAACAAATAACCATGCCTTCATCATTTTGCTCCTTCTAAAATGCTTTTTAATGTATAATTTTAATTGTTTACCATTGTCACAGACCCAGACTTTAAACCTTATTAAACTATGTGAAAATATTAATTTCTACATTTGAAAAAAAAACTGACAGTCTAAACAAAGTGTAAAATAAACATAAACCATTTTAATATTATTATTAGGGTCTCATGGGGCCCCAAACATAAAATATAAAGTCAATCTCAAGGGTTAAAATTTATATAACTGCATATTTGATGCATCATTTCCAATCAAGCTCTAATTTCTGTCAAATAAGGCAAAATGTGTGTTTATTATTATGTTTATGATTTATGAAATGCTACCTTTGAAATTAACCTTAGCAAATCTAAGGAATCTGCCATTTTATTAACATTTCAAAATGAATAATTTCCACCCACAGATATTTTCAAACAAAATACATAAAAAAATACAGATGACATTTGTTGGTTTAGATTCAAATAAGTGATACATGCATGTCCTCTGTTAGTCCAAGAGACATTTAATAAACAGTTAGCAGCCAAATTAAATAAACAAGAGAGAATGAAAAGAGTTTTAAGACCTCTGTCTTTCTCTCTCTCTCACTCTCTCTCTCTCTCTGTCTCAGTCGTTCCAGTCTCAATCTGATGTCAGATGAATCAGGGAGTCTGAACTGCAAGAGCAGTGGACTGGTTACCACGGCAATCATCAGTATCCCAACCCCTCCCTCAAACAACTCCCGAGCCAGTCCCGACGCTCCGCCCCCTCCCAACCCAGACGCTCCGCCTCTTCCGAACCCTGGCACTGATGTGGTGAAAATCTCTGCGCTGTAGGAGAAAACAGAACTCAGGAAGAGAAACTGATGAGTAGCCTGCCCCCTAGTGGGAGAAGGAGTGCACTGACTCAGACTCTCTGAAAAGAAATAGAAGATCAACAACGATGCCTCTGTGTAAATGAGAGAGAGACGGCGAAAGCAAAGCAGGACAACCATGAGTATTCGATCACTCTGCATCAGGACTGATATAGATGAGGGTGTCACTGCAGTGTCACTGTGCATAAAACATTTCTTCTTCTTTTACCTCTTAGTTTTCTGTTGGGTCATAGCCTACTGTTTTTTTAATTGATTACAGATGGAGACAAGAGGTCAAGCGTTTGCTTTCATCCGTGAGTCTTGTTTGTTTAATATCAGTCCGTTAATCTGTTCCAACATCGCAGACAGCCTCTCAAAGCCTCGGCTTTCTTTATCCCAATTAAGTTGTGATTTGATCTAGAGTAATTCCTAAAGGATAAGAGAAAATCTGCTTTAGGTTTGAGGGAGACCGTATGAGTGTGACAGCGTTTCTTAGACTGTGCTAAGTTTTTATTTTTGGAATATGTGTGATTGGTCAGAATTAGGTCTAACTTGAATGTTTCTGCCCCGTGTGTGTGTGTGTGTGCGTGTGTGTAAGAATTACTGAATTGTCCCTCAAACTCTCAGCCTCTCACACAGTTCGTGCCTCTCAGGGGGAGGAGAGTTTCCTTCTTCTTTAAGCCACTGTCTCTCCCCGAGTCCAAAACGTTGAGCCGACTTTGTAACGTTAGTTGTGACCTATCAGACATTACTATGTAATATAGAACCAAAAACAAAAAGAGAGAGAGAGAGAGAGAGAGAAAGAAACATGAAAGTGTTTTTAAAAACTCTGTGACTACAAGCACAAGGCATCGCTGAGATTTTGTGATTACAATGTGTATCAAGCCTTGGTTTAACTGTGAATATTGTTGATAGAATATTTTGTAATATTTAGCCATTGTTTGGCGAAACCAGAGCAGCTGCCTACCCCGCCCCCTTTTTGTCCACTCCGCCCCTTTATGTCTGCCCCGCCCCTTTCCTCTGTCCACTGCTGGCCTGCTTCCTGTAGTTGTTCTGATCTAAGTGTTATTGTCATTATCGCTCAATGGGTATTTAAAAAATGTGTCTAGTTTGCGTAAAACTACATGGGTAGGAAACTTTTGATGTTTGTGTTTTTCATTAACAGTGAATGTTTTTGTTAACTAGATTTCCAGTCATACGTTGCTGTTAAGAGGAGAAACTGTCAACCGTACGAATCGATTAGAGATATTCTCCACCTCTTTTCTCTCCCTCCTTTTCTGTCTTTGTCCTTATTTGTCAGCCATGTTCACAAGAACGGCATTGCCAATGAGAAAACTTGTGGTCATTAGTGGAAAGTCCCTGTTTCGTCTGTGTCGTTTCACTGCCAGCAATCAACCGCATGATCCCCTGAGCTCCACCTTTTGTACCATAACCCCCGTCCCAGGACTCTAAACCCCACCCATCTCCTTAAACCCCACTCACTTGTGCCTCTTACACCAGCATACATAGAAAGTGCCCCCTCCCTCCCTCCCCTCAGGACGTTATTGCTCCAGGGCCAGTTTTAGTGTTCAGTGCAATGAAACACACACTAGACCTCATATCAATATATTTAATCTTGTTTTGGCCCTTTTTAGATAGAATAAGCCATATTTTCCAGAAAGAAAAATACGATTAAATAATTGCATAACAGATGCATAGCCTATACTTGAACTTTAAAGCCGAAGTGGATGTCCAGTCACACGAACATGAGTTAGACATGACACCAGTATTACAGGGAAAAGCACATAGTGACATTTAGGAATATCAGGGTATCCGGCCCACACCGTTCTTACCAAAATGTTATTTGATGGCCCATGTGTTCATATGATGATTATCTTCCTGTTTGTTGTACATACAATCCATAGCAAATGATCCGATTTTATGGTCCAAATGATGTTTGGTCCCCTTTGTGATTTATTGATTTTCATGTGTACATAATAGATGGGGAAATATGGAAATGATCTAATGTTTAATTAATAGGAGGAGAAGGTGTGGCCAATATATTCTAAATTTTAAGATAATAAATGTTGAGTATTGGATCACCTGTGGTCATTGGCGAGCAGTAATGTGTTGGAGTTTTTCTTTTGCTTTGTCTTTACTTCCAGCCCAGCAGGGGACACTACAGAACCATCATGTAATAGAAGTGACTCTAGAATCCTAACAGCTTTGTAATAATTCATTTGTGCAGTTCCTTCAGATGACAGAATTGGTTGTTTTGAATATATTACCAAGTGGAGATCTGTATGTGCGCATCTACATACCTGTTGAGGGTCTTCTTTCTTCCTCTGTGTGTCTGTGCTTGTTTAACTCTTTTACTCTTTCGCTTCTTCTTTTTTTTTTTTGAGATAGTCTTGTTGTTCTATTCAGCAGATTCCTGTTCACTGTCAGATGTTAAATATTATTTATGATCTTGTCTTGTGTCACAGTTGTGAAACGCCTGATAAATGAATTGTATCTGCCACAAATACACCTGCTGTTTATTCAGTTCCTTCAACAATGCTGAACCACAATCTAACAGCAGCTTAATGATGAAATCACAAACTCATAACAATATTCTGGAGATGAAATAAAGTATAGATATGACATCACAACAAATAAATAAGTCAGGCGGGATACAGAAACAAGCTGCAGCTGGGCCTTTCAGACTCCATCATAAACGTGAATTTATCTGAGCATCTCATATAAATCATTCAATATCAAAGCATCATTTAAAAACATTATTTGCCACAATACCATTTTGTCACTTTGGATTTTGTATTATTAACATTAGCCACATGCAGCTCTGGTAGCATTAATCTGAGAGTTTGAGTTTTATTTTATGTTATTTAGGGGCGGGGGGGGACATTTGTAACAATTACCCTCCATTCTGGACCTACATTATGGGTAGGAAAAACCATTAGGAAAACCTCTTAGGCTTTATTCAAATTATATTTTCATCTAAATCTGTTTATATTTACTTTATATGCTGACTAACATTTTGCAATGCAGTTTAAAGTTTATAGATTCATAGAAGATTGATATTCGTTTACTTAAGATTTAAATGATTGTGTTCTTAAGGTTATCAAGCCTTGTAAATCAGAAACCCTAAAAGCGATACTTCACCCAAAAATGACAATTCTGTCATCATTTACTCACCCTCATGTCATTCCAAAACTGTATGACTTTCCTTCTTCTGTGGAAAAAGAAGATATTTTGAAGATTATGTTGGTAACCATACATTTTTGATTACCATTAACCTACATTCTTCTAGGGAAAAAAACAGTGAAGACATTTCTCTAAATATTTTATCCATGGGGTGAGTTGATGATCAAACTTTCATTTTCGGGTCAACTATCCATTTATAAGCTACGTTTCATTTATCTTGCCTTTAAGTAACACTTTATATTAAAAACTGATCAAGTTGATAAAGTAGTCACAGATTATGTGGTGCTTAAAGGTGCAATGTGTAATATTTACAATGATCTATTGACAGAAATGCAATATAATATACATAACTGTGTTTTCAGATGTGTATAAAGACCTTACTTAATTAACCGTTATGTTTTTATTACCTTAGATTGAGCAATTTCTATCTACATACACCGCGGGTCCCCTTACATGGAAGTCGCCACCATGTTTCTACAGTAGCCCTAAACGGACAAACTGCTCTACAGAGCGTTTCCTCACTTTGTTGTTATTTCCAATAAAACACTGACACAATGATAAACAAGTACATTAACATTCGCAAAAACATCGATTTATTGAATGATTAAGTAAATATAATTCCTTAATTTACCTTTGTAAAGAAATCTCATTGCTCTCTGCTGTCTTTACCGACATCTTTACCTGTGTAGGCCACCGTAGCTTCTCTAAAGGGAGGGGTGAGCGGGGGACTGAGTCGTTGGTTGCAATTCGCAACCTCACCACTAGATGCCGCTAAAATTTACACACTGCACCTTTAACATATAAGTATGTACATTCAAATTATAGTCTACCTATTAGTTTTACTACACATCTCACTAACATTACAAATTAATCACCTGTATCACGATAAATAAAAAAAAAACAACAACACATATTTGAAGTTGCTTCTGTCCATCAGTCAGCTGTTTTTGATGAGTGTGTTGGGCAGGAGTTTGAGGAGTTGTGAGCGCAGCTGTCGATGGAGCAGCGTGTAAATGAGCGGCTCCACTGCTGCAGGAACACACGTCACAACCAGCGCACACGTGCGCAGCTCGCGCAGCAGCCAGCGCTACAAAACACAGACCGATGGACACAGTGAATGAACAAGAAAATGTTCTCAGTTCTCTCTTTCTCACACACACACACATAATCAAATGGATTTAAAAGAAAGAGAAAATATTACAGAGAGCTCCAAAATGTGAAAAAGCTTACATTTAAAAAAACAATTCCTAATGAAAATTATATTTTTAGAGTAGCTAAGAATTTCAGACAGAACCTGAAAATATTGGACAGTTCGACTTCTTTGAAATACTTATGTTTTCTAATTAAATCTTTTTAGGGAAACTATATTATTTAGCATAACAACAAGTCATGTCAACAGTCAAGTCACCTTTATTTTAAGGAAAAATTTTAAATCAACCAATCACTCAAAATGTGGACAAGTGAACTTCATCCGTATAGGATAATCTTAAACAGTTTTATTCGGGGTAACAATTTCATCCCAAATAAATAAACACACACATATAGATAGATAGATAGATAGATAGAGAGAGAGAGAGAGAGAGAGACGCACTAACCCCCCCCCCCGTTATAAAAAAACAAACAAAGTGGGCTCCCCCAAAGTCCACGGTATAGTTCGAACACTGGCTATATCTATATATCTATACAGATATATACACATCTAAATACATATAGGCTACAGCTAAATAAATAAGCGTTCCATTGATGTATGGTTTGTTATGACATGACGATATTTGGCTGAGATACAACTATTTGTCTGGAATCTGAGGGTGCAAAAAAATCTAAATATTGAGAAAATCGCCTTTAAAGTTGTCTACTACTAATGATTTTTGGCATAAAATAAAAATCGATGATTTTGACCCATACAATGTATTGTTGGCTATTGCTACAAATATACCCGTGCTACTTATGACTGCTTTTGTGCTCCACATATAGCCTATATCCTGTGGCCTATATAAATGAATGTGGACAATTTAACTTTTAGTAGGCCTATCCGTTATTAATAAAAGTTTTTATTTATTTTCTAAGACTAACTAACAAGAAAGCAGACAAATAAATAAATAGGCCTAAGCAAATAAAAAAAGTAAAAAAAAGTAGCCTAGTTTTGTCATGAGATAAAAAAATTTAAAAAAAGAAGTTCTCACTTGATTCTGTCTGAAGTCCTCGTACATGTTCAGCACGAGGATGATAAACAGCGGAGCCCAGAACACAGTGGCTGTGATGATGATGTAGCCAAATCTCTTCGCCACGCGGCCCTCGAGCCTCTTCTTGCCCAGCTCGCGGGCCGCTGGGGTCAGAAAACACACCGCACCCGCGATGCGCTGATTCTCTGCGCTTCTCAACAGATCTGTGACAGAGGCGCTGTGGGATTTCTGCGGGAGCGCGGCTGCTGAAGACGCCTCGCGGTCCCAACGAGGAAGATGCTTTCCAAAGTAAGGTCTAAACTGAACACCTGTGTCAGTGATTTTGTTGGTATGCTGTCTCACAACAGAAAAGATGCGGAAATAGTGAATGATTATCAGTATCAGAGACAAGCCCCAG